TATATTTTTCACGCCCCCCATCCTTCGCGAACCCAGATCTTGGGAGGCCCGCAGGGTCAATAACCCGAACTCTTTGCCCAGCTGAGAAACCTGAAGCTCAGAGAGGAAACATTTCCTAAACTCGCACAGCATGTCAGGATACAAGCAGGGATGAACTTCGAGACTCCGCGCCTCCCCTCCACTGTCACCCAGGGCATCACAGACGCTCCTACACGATTCAGGACTCAGTTTCCCGGCTTGCGTGACTACACAACACTAGCCAGTGTCACTTGCCCTTCCTCTCCAGTGGGGGCGCTGCACTAGCCGAGAGAATGGAACGGGACTCTCCAAGCGGTAAGGGCAACCGCCCCCAGCTGGGGTCTCCCCTGCAGGGTCAGCGGGGCCTTCCCGGGGCTAGGTTAAACGCCTATTAATACCAGCCACCGGGTCTGCGTGACACTGCGCAGGCGCAGGCGGGTTCCGCAGGCGCGCGGGGTGAGCGCGCGAGCGAGGGATTCCCTCTGACGTCATTGCTAGGATACCAAACAAACACTCAGCCGGCGCTGCCGAGCTCCTTATATGGCTAATTGCGTCACAGGAACTCCGGGGAGGCGGGGTCGGAATCCCCTCCCGCCGTGCGACCCGGAATGCAGCCCCCGAGACCCCCAGAGAAGCGAGGACCATTCAGATGACCAGAGTGAGGCTAGGATAGACCCCTGGCCGGACGGCGCGGGCCTCTGTTCGGCGACGCCGGAGATTTTGGGAAGTTTGTGGAGGGGTTGAGGGTGACGTAAACAAGGGGGCGGGGCCCGTGTATATAAATACAGGCTGGCGGCACTGGGCTTCATTCATAAGATTGAGAGCCACGGCCACGGTGAGGACACGCGGAATCGGGACTGGGGACTTGATTGTTGTGGTTCTTCTTGGGAGCTGCAATATCCGGTTTATTATTCTTTTTTCCGGAAAGTTTTTGGAAGGCTTCTTCTAGATAATTCTCCGTTCGTTTTGGAGGAGCGAATTACTTTTTCGTCTTCTTTATTGGCCCCGTCCCTCCGTGGGACCCGGTGGACGCGTGAAGGAGACCTCATCTGAAGCGAATTCTGTGAAGCGGGACAGCACTCTCCGCCGCTGGGGGAGCGGCCCCCCGCGCCCCTGGGTCCTCCGGAGCCTGGACTTTGAGGAGGTACAGCAGCATCGTGTGCAGGTCTGAGCACCGCGGAGGGGCTGCACGGAACTTTGCCTTTGTTGGAGCGGGACGCTGCCCCCTCCCCGAGCTTCTCCGGACAGCGCACTTTGGGGACGCGCTTAGCTCACCCCGGACTCGCACCTTTCTTCTCCCACCCGGCTATAGCCTTGGCTTCCCGGCGACCTCAGCGTGGTCACAGGGGCCCCCCTGTGCCCAGGGAAATGTTTCAGGCTTTCCCCGGAGACTACGACTCCGGTTCCCGGTGCAGCTCCTCGCCCTCCGCCGAGTCTCAGTATCTGTCTTCGGTGGACTCCTTCGGCAGTCCATCCACCGCCGCCGCCTCCCAGGTAAGTTCTAGAGTGTTTGGGGTCTAGTTTTGTGGATTTTGTTTTTTAAGTCACGGGTAGAGAGAGACATGCTCCCCCCCCAAAAAAAAAAAGAAGGAAAAAAAAAATACATATAAACGCGCCAAAACCCGAGATCTGAAAGGGAATAGGCTCGCAGCGCGCTTTGCAAACTGCAAAGTCGAAAAATGTTTGCAATTGGTTGTGTGTATGGATCGCGGGGAGGGAATGTACCGGGATAAGCTTAAGGAGCGGTTAGAGAGGATGCGCCGCTCGGTGCAACGTGTATGCGGTATTAAAGCTGAGAACTTTTAGGCTCCAGGGCTGTCCCAGCTCAGGCCCCCAACCCGAAGCTGGAGCTGTCAGGCAGGTGGGGGAACCCCAGCGAAGCTTGGACTAGCCTCCTCCCCTTTCCTCCTCCTTTAGAGCGCCGACTCCCGGCGCTCAGCCGCTCTCCACCCAGCGGGAAAGCGGGCCTCGAACCCTGGGCCACGCTGCCTCCGCCTCCTGCGCGGAGACGTAACGGGGGACCCGTGCGTAACGGCTGACGCGCTGGAATCCTCCGTCTGACGCGGGGCACGCACGGCGCGCGGCGCCCCCTTCGTCCGCCCCGCCCCTGACGTCCCGGGAGCGTTCTATTTTGGAACTCCGGGGCCACGTTGCTAAGGGAGGGGGCAGTCCGGCTTTCCGATTGGCTGCCGGGGCGCTGGCTGTGGCCAATCAGCTTCCCCTTCCTATTTGTAGGGCGCAGTTTCCTTCCCCTGCTCTGTCCCCGGGCCCGGTGGTTCTCGGCGTCAGGGTCTCTTTCACGGGCCTCTCGAGGCAGGACGCAGGGGTTCATATCGTGACAGAAGAGACGTTCTGAGACCCAATGGGTCCTCGAGGACCTTGCGGGGATTCAGTCGCTCAGCTTTCGGGGGCAGGGAGTGTCTGTGTGTGTGGCGGAGTTTCTTCCGGAGACATGGTAGCGGTCACCCACTTCTCCAGACACACACAGACACACTTCCACTCCCTCTGCTCCAGACACCAAGTCCCTCCGATGTGTCTGAAGCTAGAACTAGAACGGGTAACCCGAGGGGGACCGACCAGGTGGTCTCCAGAAGCCCCGCCCCCTCTGAGTTCCCAAGATGCTGATTGGCTGGCGTTCCAGCCCTTCCCTCACCACGCCCCCTCGGAGAGTAGTTAAGCCTTCCGGGCAGGTCTAGAATTCCGTTTGCAGGTGGGGGGAGATGATCGCCGATAGGGGTCCGGGGGCTCTGGACCGACAGACGTTCCCCCTCCGCGAAGGTCCGAGAGAGCCCGGACCGTCACTTTTCTCTACCTGTCGGTCCACCCTAAACTGTCACTTGTCAGCCTCACTCTGGGAAGAGACAGTTACTTGAAACGTTGTTTTAAACTCCTAGCCCCGTTCCCGAACACCTTTTTAACTGGGACCCCTGCCACTTCACGGGGGTCTCTCGGACCCTCCCAGTTCCTCATTCCCTTGCACAAAGGGGTGTGTGTGGGTCTGTGTGTGTGTGTGTGTGTGTGTAGAGAAAGGCTTGGCCTAAGGCCTCTCCCCCTCCCTCCCCTTGCCTCTGGGGTGGGGGTGGGGTGTTGTGGCTGTGTGTGGCTGTGGCTCCTTCCCGGGGGTTCTGTCACCCGGCTGTGTCCAGCCTCCTCCCCACCCCCAACACCTAAGAGTCACCAAGCCGTGGTGTGATTCACCACCCGCTGGAACCGTGCAACCTTTCCCCGAGGAAGGAGGAGGAGGAGGAGGGAGAAGCCAGTTGAGCAGAACTCTCATTAACCACTGCGTCACGGTGTAGTGGAAGGGTGGGTGTTGTGGCTTTCTGCCTGTGACACACATCCACACCCGCTCGCCCTGTGCTCACTCACGGGGTCGGTGTGTGTATGTGTGTTGGGCGTGTGTGTGTCGGTGTCTCTGTTTGTGTGTCTACGCCTGTGTGTGTATGTGTCACCCCGTAGGAGTGCGCCGGTCTCGGGGAAATGCCCGGTTCCTTCGTGCCCACGGTCACCGCGATCACAACCAGCCAGGACCTCCAGTGGCTTGTGCAACCCACCCTCATCTCTTCCATGGCCCAGTCCCAGGGGCAGCCGCTGGCCTCCCAGCCCCCGGCCGTCGACCCCTATGACATGCCAGGAACCAGCTACTCCACACCAGCCATGAGTGGGTACAGCAGTGGTGGAACCAGTGGTACTGGTGGGCCTTCCACCAGTGGAACCGCCAGCGGACCTAGGCCTGCCCGCCCAGCCCGAGCCCGGGCCAGGAGAGCCCCAGAGGAGACGGTGAGTAAGAGGCATCAGAACTTGGTCTGAGGGGCTGGAAGCAAGAGTGGCAGGAACTTTCTCATGTTTTGGAGTGGAGGACCACTAAGGTTTCAACACCATGGAAACCCTGTCATTCTTGCTACAGCCAGTGAGGACTAAAGGGGCCTTTCCTGGCTCCTAGGAGAATCAGAAGGGGCAGTTTGGGATGGGTGGAGGAGGTGAGCCCTGTCCTCAAATCTTGTGGCCTCCATTTCCCCTATTCAGCTCACGCCTGAGGAGGAGGAGAAGCGGCGGGTTCGCAGGGAACGGAACAAGCTGGCAGCAGCCAAGTGCAGGAACCGTCGACGAGAGCTGACCGACCGACTGCAGGCGGTGAGGATGGTCCCTGGGGCCGGCTGAGGGGATGCTGCGGGGGCTCTGTCTCAATTCTCTGTCCCCCCCACCTGTGCCCTTACTTTGGGCTGAGAACCAGTGGGTGGGGCCAGCAAGGGTAACCCAGTGACATCCACAGACCCCCCCCACATATTTATATAAGCTCCTGGCCATGCCATGCCCTGCCTGGACCTACGACTGCTCCCCACTCCACTCCTGGCCTTTGCTTCATTTCAGGGAACATATGGGGGCCCCTCCTTACAGGGGAACTCTGGTTTCTCCCATTTGGTCTTGGGCAAACTCTGACCCTTTTGTGCCTCAATTTCTCCCTGTCTTTAACCCCTTGTCAAACCCCCTGGGCTCCTTCTGCTACCTTTAACATTCTTTAAAATTTTTCTTCATCTTGTCAATTCCCTGCCACCTGTCCCCAGCCACTCACAGTTCTCAAACCTTGGGCTGGGGCCACTGACCTTAGGCTCCTCCTTATTTTACTCCCTACTTCAGTCTGAGTAGGAGCTCTGGTGGTACAGTGGTTAAGGCATTTGGCTGTGAACCAAAAGGTCAGTGGTTCAAACCCAGCAGCTGCTCTGCAGAAGAAAGATGAGGCAGTCTGCTTCTGTAAACATTTACAGCCTTGGAAACCCAATGGGAGTTTGGCTACAAGTCAGAATTGACTCTGTGGCATTGAATTTGGTTTTTGGTTTTTGGTCTGAGTTTCCTACTATGCACCTGCTGGGTGACCTTGCAGGCTTCAAGGAAACCCCAAAAATCTTCCACTGTCCCCCTTCCTTGGTCAATCCCTTGGAGGATGAGGGGGTAATGTAGCCGGGGACACAGGTAGCTTTAAAACCCACACCCCATCATTCATTCATTCATTCATCAAACCTCTGAGTGCTTTCTGCCACCAGAAACTTCCAGGTGCACCAGGCCCCTTCCTAAATACTCATTTGACAGATAGGGAAACTGAGGCTTTGAGCAAGGCAAACCCCTGGCCCCAAGCCCCACATATAGTCTACCAGGATCCATCTACGGGGGTCTTTCCTCTCATTCTGGGCCTGCTGGGGAGTGAATCTAGAGGGGAAGCTTCCAGGCGTGACCCACCTTCTCCAGTCCGCTGACGGTCTTTTTTTTCCTTCCACCCTCTCCTCCTCCTCGACCTGGCCTCCTCCGTGGGGGGCTTCAGGAAACGGACCAGTTGGAAGAAGAAAAGGCTGAGCTGGAGTCGGAGATCGCCGAGCTCCAAAAGGAGAAGGAACGTCTGGAGTTTGTGCTCGTGGCCCACAAACCGGGCTGCAAGATCCCCTTCGAAGAGGGGCCTGGGCCCGGCCCGCTGGCGGAGGTGAGAGATTTGCCGGGGTCAGCATCCACTAAGGAAGATGACTTCGGCTGGCTGCTGCCGCCCCCGCCACCACCGCCCCTGCCCTTCCAGACCAGCCAAGACGCATCCCCCAACCTGACAGCTTCTCTCTTTACACACAGTGAAGTTCAAGTCCTCGGCGACCCTTTCCCCGTTGTTAACCCTTCGTACACTTCCTCGTTTGTCCTCACCTGCCCGGAAGTCTCCGCCTTCGCCGGCACCCAGCGCAGCAGCGGTGGTGACCAGCCCTCCGACCCCCTGACCGCTTCCTCCCTCCTTGCTCTGTGAACTCTTTAGACACAAAACAAACAGACACACAAGGGAGAGAGATTTGGAAGAGGAGGAGCGAGGAGGGGAAGAGACAAGCGGGTGTGTGGCCTCCCTGCTTCTCCTGTCTGACCCTCTGCTGCCACTGCCATCGACAGGACCTCCCAGTGTTTTGCGCCCTTGGTTCTGTGCCCGGGTAGAGACTGCAGAGCTGGTGACTTTGGGGGCAGGGGCTGGGGAGGGGAAGGACATGCTGGGCGGCCTGTTGGCCCTCTCACCTCCACCCAACCTCTGGGGATGGGTGGGTGGAGGGTGCCGCCGCCAGTGGGCAGTGCCGTGTGGGGCTGGAGGGGGGACGGGGCGCGGTGGTGGGCGGTGAGGTGGTCTGGAGTGGTCTCCAGAGAGGTCCAACAAGGAAAGGCTGTCCCCCTTGCTGTCTGTCACACCCACCCTTCATGGGGGTGTCTAGGCTGACACACTCGCTCCCGACCTTAGCTTATTTATCTCCCATTTCCACGTGGTTAGACACCCCCCCAACTTTGTACTGCGTGGAAGAATTGAGCCACCTTATCCTTCAAGGGAGGACATTGATGCTCCCTCGGATAACCCCCTCCCTCCTCAGACTTACTCTGAAATGTGAACCCTTTGCTGATGCTCCAGCCGCCCCCTCCCCATAGAACTGGCTCTGATTGGAATTGCTCGCCTCCTAAGAAGCCCCCAAAATTCAGCCCCCAGCCCTCCGTCCCGATGACAGTGTTATTCCAAGCCCCCCACCCCTTCCAGCCTCTCCGCCTGGACTTCCTTGTTGGGTCTTTCTGATTTCAGGCAGCAGGGGGCGCTGCGATGCTTGCCCTGCCGGAGTGTTTTATACTGTGAACTGAGTTGCCAGCTTGTGGGGGGGACGTCCCCAAACCTTCTTCTTGGTCTCCCTTTCCATCGGCCTCCTTTCCCCCACAACAGTTGAGTTCGATTTGAGGGGGTGACAGAGTTGAGAGAGGGTGACAGTTACCCGTGTGGCCTCTCCTCAGGACCCCCAGCCCCCAAGCCCCAGCCTTTAAGGCGCCTCCTCTCTCCCCCAGCCTAGGACGCCAACTTCCCCCCTCCCCTCCGCACCCCCACATCCCCTCTAGAAAGGGGACAAGGGGGGGTCGCAAGGAAGTTTCATATTTATCTAGACTTTTAATGGCTGAGGCTTTGCCCTGTCCACCCCGAACCCCAATATTTTTGGACTGGCAAACTCAAAGGGGCTGGGCTCCCCCACCCCAGCTTCCTCCCCCCAACTCCCTCAGTCAGCAAATCTTGGTTTGGGCTCTCCCACCCCGCCTCTCCTCCGCTTCACCTCATGGGAATTGGACCATGAGGCAAATTTCTATTTTTTAATATCAGTGGTGGGCACATCACCTCCCGTGCTGCATGGAAGACATTCCACGTGCCCCCTCCCACGCCCCCAGCCCCAGACTCCTCCCACCGCTATTTATCCCTTTCCAGGTTTCCGAAAGGCACTTATATCTATTATGTATAAATAAATATATTATATATATGTGTGTGTGCGTGTGCGTGCGTGTGAGTGTGTGAGTGCTTCTGCAAAACCTCGTTGGCCCTTCAAGCGTATGGTCGAATTGGAAATACTGCTTCGGAGCTTTGAATCAGCCTGTGTTTCCCCGCGTTCTTGTCCTTTCTCTGGCTGTCTCTGTCTTGTTCGTTGCCTTAGAGTCAGTTCTGACTCCTGGCGACCCCACGTGTGCAAAGCAGAACCGTTTCACTGGGTTTTCAAGGCTGTGAACTTTCGGAAGCAGATTGCCAGGTCTTTACTCCGTGTCGCCTCTAGGTGGGTTCAAACTGACCACCTTTGGGCTACTGATTGAGCACTGGGCTGTTTGTGCCACCCAGGGATGACTCGGATTGTCCTTAGCTGTCCCTGTTCTGAGGGTCTCGGCCCCTCTTGCTGTTTCGAATGGTCTGGCTGTTCCCTTTCACAGTGTGGCTCCGCCTCTCCCTTCTCTTCCTGTTTTTCTCTGGCCGTTTCTGCCTGAATCCTTTCTGACTGCCCCTGACCCTCTGGCTGTCTTCTGACTCTGGGCCCGATGGGGATGTGAGGTTTTATTTTTGTGAGTAAGCCTGAGGCATCATAGATGATGACCAGCTTGTGTCCTTGAGGAAATGGGGTGTGAGTGTGAGACTGTCAGCGGGGCCTGCCCCTGCCGACCACAACGTATGGACCCCCAGCTCCTCTTTCCCTCCTGTGCTGTATTTGTGATTCTCTTTTTGTACTTTGCACCTGACCCTGGAGGCTGGGGCAGGCTGGCGCTGGGCCTCTCTCCTCCCTCCAAGGTTCTGCACTGTCGCCATGTTCCAGCCCTCCAATAAAAAGAGCTTAAAACGCACCCACCAAGTGTCGCCGTCTCTTTCCTCCTAATACCTGTGACCTGGCTTCCTGTCAGCATGAGGGAATGAGGTTGGACTGCCGGGGGCGGGGGACCGGACTATGCACTGGCACATGCTCGCTGCTAGTAAAGCAGCTACAGCAACATGGAGGGAGGCTAGACTCTCAGAAGGACTTCCCATACACACAGGCCTTGTCTCCTATGAGAAAAAGCAAGGAGGCAGAAAATTAGCTGTGACTTATGGATCTGTTGGGAGTCCCTCTGAGGAACACAAATGGTTGACCATTCAACCTCTAGTCAAAAGGTTGGCAGTTTGAGTCATTCCAGGGGTGCCTAGGAAGATAGTCCTGGTGTTCCACTTCCCAAAAACTCGTCATGAAAACCCTGGAGTACGATTCTACTCTGACACACATGGGGTCTCCATGAGCAACTAACGTGGATGTGTGCAAGACGCTCTGAGGGAATAGCTTGAGCAAAAGTTGTTGTTGTTGTTATGTGCCATCGAGTTGTCTCTGACTCATAGTGACCCCTCCTTGGGTTTCCGAGGTGGTATCTCTATAGAAGTAGGTTGTCCAACCTTCCGAGCAAAAATTAGGGAGCAGAATTTGTATAAGAGGGGTCTCTGGTTGAGAACCGGAGGTCCCCTCAGCTCCTGAGGTAGAAAAGACTCCTGAGATTTTAGCCCAGTCTAAAGAGAGAATTGAGTCACTCTGTCACTGAGGTCCCTTGAACACCCAGTTGTGTGTCCTCAGAGCTATACGAACTACGAGAACTGTGGTCACATTTCACAGAGGACGTATTTCCTTTCTCTCTTTGAGTGGCCATGTCTGTTTTATGAAGATCCTGGGGCAGATCCAAGACTAACTCTGAACCAAAAATATTGCCGTTTTTGTCTGGCCCAAAATAAGGTTGAGCCACCGGGCTGCAAACTCCCGGCTCTCCCTTATTTACATGGCAGCAAGCACTCTGGGAATGGAAGGGCGGGTTCAGAGGTCACTTGGACACCTTCATAAATGAGTGGGCAGGGGAAGGTCATGGTAGAATCAATTCCTTCCTTCCTTAATTCAACAACATTTGCTGACCACACAGTGCCCAGCCTTGTGGTGGGCAGTGTTGGGGACACTTCGGGGGCTGAGAATGACTTAGGCAGTGCCCCCCTAGGGCTCACAGGCCAGAGGAGGACACAGACCCACCTTCAGTCACGGATGGCTAAAGTGGCAATCCATGGGGCAAGGGGAGCCCAGCACGTCAAGGGGTCCAGGGAGCCTTCCTGGAGGAGAGGGCAGCTGAACTTACTCCTAGAGGACGAATAGAGAGTATCAAAGGGAATAAAAGCGAAATGTGAAAAGGGTTCAAGACCAAGGTAACAACAAAGACTTGTGGGTGCGGAGAGGGTTTGTTATGCTAATGCAGCTGGAAGTTCGCTGTGGCTGGAACACCACGTGTGGAGAGTCAGCGCCGGCCAGACCCCGCAAGGAAGGACCAGGCTGCGGTCCCTGGGGAGCCAAAACAGATTTTGAGCAGAAGAGGGGCAGGGACAGGTCTGTACTTGAAGAAGACCTACAGGGTTGAAGGTGGCTGAGAGGGAGAGAGAGTGGAGACGGGGCGGGCGAGGAGACAAAAAAGGAGGCTGGGGCGGGGGTCCTGGTGTGTGAAGAGGGGTCTGGACCAGAGCCGGGAGTTGTGGGGATGGAGGAGGGGTTTCTCAAGCTCGTAGTGAGTCCAGAATCTACAAGGAAATGCCACCATTCAACAACCAAAAGACAAGCCACCCCGTGTTAAAATGGGCAGAGGAACTGAATCAACACTGCTTCAAGGAAGATGCACGGATGTCGGGCGATAAGCACATGAAAAGATGCCCGACATTCTTAGTCATTAGAGAAATGCAAATCAAAACCACAATGAGACACCACTTCACACCCACTAAGATGGCTATTATAACATTTTTTTAAAAAATGGAAAATAACAAGTGTGGTTGAGGATGGGGAGCAATTGGAACCCCGATGCATTGTTGGTGGGAATGGAGAACGAAGCAGCCGCTGTGGCAGAGTCCGGTGGTGACTCAGAAAGGTAGCACATAGACTCACCACGCGCCCAGTGATTCTGCACCTGTGGGCCCAAAAGACTGGCAGGCAGGGAGGCACACAGCCCATGGACGCCGGTGTTCACTGCAGCCCAAAGGTGATACATCTCAAGTGCCCCAGGGGTGAATGAATGAACAAGGGGAGGTAGAACCATAGGATGGAATATTACTCAGATAAAAAGGAACAGAGTTCTGATGCATTTTTGCTATGGATGAACCCTGAAAACATTCCACTGAGTGAAACAAGCTAAATACAAAAGGGCAAATACTGTATCATCCCACTTAGATGAGACATCTTTGAAAAAAAAGAAAAAAAAAAAAAAAAAACCCACTGTGGTTGACTCATAGCACCCCTAGAGGACAGGGTAGAACCGCCTCACTGGGTTTCCAAGGCTGTCAATCTTTATGGAAGCAAAGCCCAAACCAAACCTTGGAGTCAATTCCGACTCACAGCGCCCCTAGAGGACAGAGTGGAACTGCCGTGTAGTTTCCAAGGTTGCACATCTTTACTGAAGTGGACTGCCATATCGCTTTCCCACAGAGAGCCTGCTGGGTTGGAACCATTGACGTTTTGGTGAGCAGTCCAATGCTTTATCACCATGGCACTAGAGCCCCTATGTGAATTATCTAGAATAGGCATTTATAGAGACAGAAAGTAGATTTGTAGTTACCAGGGGATCTGAAGGAGAGGGCATGGGAGTTGCTGATGGATGGCTACAGAGTTTCTGTTGGGGGAGATGAAAAAGTTTTGGAAATAGATGCTGGTGATGGTTGCACAGTGTGGTGATTGTAATTAACACCACTGAATGATACACTTTAAAATGGTTAAAATGT